AAAGGCAACCTAATATATATATATATATTTAACATATTTTAGAATTTATAATTCAGATCATGATTACTTTTCCTGATTTTATTAAGCTGTCTTTTCTTATGTTTCTTAAAGTTTTACTATTATTTTAAATTGTTTTTTGGTAGTTTATAAATTTCCATTTTTTGGGGTTCAATTCTTGGAGAATTATTGTCTTTTCTTGGTGTCATGATTCCTTGCTTTTCTCTGCTGCCTATATCCATTCATTGATATCTGTAAACATGCCAGGCCAGTTACTCCTAAATGTTTCCAAGTGACTTTCTTAGGGTACCACTTTCACATGTAGATGAGAGCCAGGGAGCCAATTGGGTATGGCCCAGTTACTCTTACTTTCAGTGAGCACCGTGATATGTCTCTGCATGCAACTTATTCAACTGTGTTCCACGGCAGCTTTTCCACTGGATGCCTAAGAGGGCTCGGCTGCATGGCCTAGGCACAATGGTCTATTGTTACTTTGTAGGTAGCTTTTGGTTAATTCTATTCTTGTCTTCCACACAAGGGAGAGTTTTAGCTAAGGGTATTCTTTTCGGAATTGGGTCTGATATGACATAGGAAACCACAGCAGTACTGTATTGTATGGTGCAGGTGCTCATAGTAGTTATAGGCCAATAGTCTAAGTTTTTTGGAACTACTGTAGCACCTGGATCTTGAGCTATGTGTTTACTCTCAGAAAAACATCTGAATGTATATAGCCCACAAAACCAATGTCTTTGATTCTGACACGTCCCTAGCAGCTTGGATTAAAGAGGTAAAGATGTAACTGTGGCTGTGACTTTGTGACATAACATAGTACTGCCACATCGCTTGAGAACGTAAAGTGCACATGAAGTCTGGGCCCTACAGGATAATTTCCAGCTGTAATCTAGGTCGCAGCGCCAGTAGTTCACAGTGAGCTAAAGTCCCTGGGGTTGAGACACCACATAGCTGTAACTCAAGACACTGGGATGCTATGGCATAGTAGTAGCCCAGGCTGGTTGAAGTCAGGTACAGTGGAAACAGGGACTTGAGAATGACAGAATGTGTATGTGGATTGGGTGCTAAGAGGCAGGCAATAGCACAGTGATGATGTCATTCTGTAGGGAGGTAGAGAATCTCAACCACTCAACTTCTGGAGGCTAGTCCAATTCTAGTGAAACCAAGTACTGCAAGTATTTGGCACTGAAGGTATCCTGATCCAGCATACACAATGCTTTGTTTCCATGGGAGTTGAAACAATGTATCAGTTCACCTGTGGTAGGTAAATTGTTTGAGACAGTATTCTGCTTCTCAGAGAACTGCTGTTTTAGTCAAGATGACCTTTGATGAATTAAGGCTGGATCCTCAGATCACAAATCATTGCCTCCATTCAGTTGATTTGGTCTGTTGTTTCTTTAAAAATTATAAGAATAATTGTATTTTTATCAACATCTGTTACATATATTAATGGGATTCAGGTCAATAACAAGTGCATGCATAGAGCATGAACTAATTATATCCAGTATCCATTTATCCACTCTGCCCACCCCTGTCACAAATGTCTTGAAATCATTTTTTAAACATGCATGTAGGCAGCCAAAGTGAGGCAAAGGAAATTCACATTCCTTGCTTCCCAAAGACCTTAGATATGCCAAGTTTTCTTCCAAGTTGCTACATTCCCGAGTGGGGCATTAGTTCCTTTGGGGAGGGAATCACTTTGGACTAGAAATCATTATTTTACATTAACTTCCATCTATGAGTCGGAAAATGCAACAATTATCTTTCTGTGTCTGTCTTATTTCATTTAGTATACTGCTCAATTCCATTCATTTTGCTGCAAATAGCAGAATTTCTTTCTTCCTTGTGTGTAAATCATACTCCATCATGTGTGTATGCCATGTTTTCTTTGTGTGTGTATGTGATTCATGTGTATGCTTCCATGTTGCACATCTCTGCATACATTAGGAGGCTGTAGGTCAACATCATGTATATTTCTCTGTTGCTCTCCACCTTACATTTTGAGACAGGGTCTCTCAATAAAACTGGATCTCAACAATTTGACAAAACTAGCTATTCAGCAAGCACCAAGCACCAAGGACCACTGCTTTCTGCCTTCTTTAATTTTTTTTTTATCATGGGTGTTTGGGATCCAATCTCAGGTCTGTGTGTTTGCATCATTGGTACTTTACTGACAGATCCATGTATCCAGTCACCATATTTTTTTATTCACCTGGTTATTATTTGCTAAACTGAGTCTCTATTTTAGCTCTTACAAATACTCCTGCAGTGAACACCTATGTGTAAGTGTGTGTTTGGTAAGTTGATTTCAGTTCTTTTGAATACATGCTCAGAAGTGGGCTAACTATAACATACGTTAGTCTATTTTCAACTTTTTGGGGAACTTCCATGCCTTGTCTCTAATGTTGCACTAATTTACATTTTCACAATAATATATGAGAGTAACTTTAAAAAATTTATTTAATTACCACATACTTAAAAGTAGAATTTCATTACAACAGCATTGACATATTCAATAACAATTTTCCTGAGCTAAGATGCATCTCTTTCAAAATTAGCTGTAAATTTTTAAGTTTACATATGAACTATTAGTTATACAATATTGTACTCAGTATAAACCCTATAAGAATTAAGTTAAATGAGGTTTTAACCTTTAAAAAAGATCTCCATTTCATTAATAAAATACAGTTTCATAAGAAAAATTCATCTCCAATGCAA